ACCTGTGGAGGGAGGAGTTGGGAAGGCTGACAAGCAGGACGTTTGCACAGTCGAGCCTTGATGTGATGAAGGCATGAACAAGAGTTTCAGCGGCCTGAGGGGTGAGGTAGTGGCAGAGTCGGGCGATGTTACAGAGGTGAGGGAAGCCAGAGTGGGTCATGGCTTGGATATGAGGAAGAAGACAGTTGAGGGTCGAACAAGACACCTGGGTTCCTGACTGGCTGGTGATTTGAAGCGTGCAACCATGGAAGTTGATGCTGCCAGAGTCTGATGTGCAGAGGCGCTGGCGCGAGCCAATCATGAGGGCTTCAGTCTTGTAAAAAAAAAACTGAAATAAAATGGGTAATTCTTTTTATAACTGTTTGTGGAACATCGCTGTGTGCAAATGTTTGCCTACAAAATATACAGTCACTACACTTCATATTAAAATCATGTAAAGATGTTTAAGATGTCCCAGTGAGGTGAAAGACACTTTATCAAATTCAAGGATTATTATTAATAATAAATCTAAAGCACACATCTATCTACAGATTTGATAACAGCTTTTAAGAGAGAACTGGATAGGTATCTGGGGAAGACGGGTTTGCAGGGTTATGGGGAGAAAGCTGGTGATTGGGGTTAGTGAAAGTGACTTGCTCTGTCATAGAGCCGGGACAGACTCGACGGGCCGAATAGTCTCTTTCTGTGCCGTAACATTCTATGAATCTATGAATCTACTCTGTGTTGCGAAACAAAGGCAGATTAAAAATGAGCAGTTAGTTTAGAATGAAAGTGGAGTGAAACCCACAGGAATGATTTTCATAATCTAGAGAGTTTTGCATAAACATATGCTCAGATTAGAGACAACCTGGCCAATTGCTACAACAGAGCAAATTACTCTCTTTAAGGATATTGTACAATTATACACAACATAAAGACTGATTGTGCAACAATGCAACAAAGGGATGCTAATTCATTCCCACTGATGCTGACAGAAGTCTTTTGTAGATCAATGTGCCGTACAAAGATTTTCTCCCATGGAACTTTCAAGAGAATGTTCAACTGTACATAATGGAGGGTTTTGATCCCAATCCTGTAGCTTGTGGAGTTGTTCATTAGGTGTGGTGATTTTGATTTTTAGTTTAGCTATGTTATAATAAATTGGTTCTGTTTTAAATGGCAAGTATTACAGACATTACCGGGGAGGAGTATTAGTTACTGAGCAGCATCCAAGTGCAACGTTCAAGCTGAATGATAATAATAATAATTCTTTCATTTGATACAGAGCATTATCACGTCTTCGGGATGTCTTAAGGCATTGCACAGAATATACTGTAAAGTGAATTGACTGCATATTTTGTGGGCAAAACGTTGCAGCCAATTGCGCACAACAGTGTACCACAAACAGTCATTGAGAAACAAAATGAAACCAGCTTCAAAATTATTGTTGTGATAATAATAATAATCCTTGCATTTGATATAGTGCTTTTCACGTCTTCTAGACGTCCCAAAGCGCTTCACAGAATATACTGTAAAGTGAATTGACTGTATATTTGTGGGCGAACACAGCAGCCAATTGCGCACAGCAATGTCCCACAAACAGTCATGGATTGAAAATGACCAATTTATTATTGTTTTGTTTTTTTGGAGGGATTATTATTAGGCGTGTGGAGTAAGGAAACTTGCCCAAGGTTTCGCCCTCTGCCTGGAATTGAACTTATAACATACAAGCATAGATATCACTGCCTTATAGCTTAACATACACAAAAGAAGATTGATCAGAGCAGGAAGCTTTTAAGCCATTCTCAGTTCCTTCCGATTTTTTTTCCTGTTTTGATGGGTTAATTTATGACCTTATAGGGGACTAAAGTGCAGAGCTTCTTAATTGTATTCCTTTGTAACTACTTCCAAACTGCAAATACTTTTGGAAACCAGAAGAACATTGTGCTTATCTCTCGTACTCAGCTCTGACATAATCTACTCTGAGCAATGTTGGCACAACGTACTTCCAGTTACCGGAAGGAATCTCCATTTATGAATTGTGAGTCCTTATCCAGGAATCCAGCGAAGCAGTGCAGTAATTTGGACCTCATTGTTACTATTGTTAATTCATGAACTTCATCAGTGCTACTCGATGATTGTTGGTGTACAAAAAGTGAATGAAGAGGAAAGAGGATTTAATAATGAATAGAATTGTGTAATTATGTTTCTTTGAAAACCTTTCTTATCCAATTTTCTTTCAAAGGGTGTGACAACAAATGTACTGTGGTAGTGGCGTGTGTGTGTGTGGTGGGGGTTTGAAGGGAAAGAGAGGAGGAGGGGAAAAGATAGTTGAGAGAGAGAGAGAGAGAGAGAGAGAGAAACAACCAGGTACTGATCCAAAGCTACTATTTCTGATGGGTTCCCGATGCTGAGGTTGCCTCATTAAAGTGAAAGATAACAGTGAGAATAGTAGCCTTTCTAGATGCAGTTGCTGTGCCAAGGTCCAGTTGCTGAGGTTTGTTTGCATTTCCATCTACCCCTCTGTACACTGTTGTTGAGCAGACATTTTTTTTCGAGAGAGAGATGTCCCCTGCTAGGAATTCCTGACTGAGGAGTGCTTCACAGAAGACTGGGGCGATGAGAGAAAAACAACAATTCAATTAAACTAAACAGCGCTGTCGCCATGCCAACATGTTGCTCTGCACTCCAAATTGCACTGCCACGCAAAGTAGCTAATACCTTGACAGACCTCAATCTAGCCTCTACTTGGTTGCTAAAGGGCCTCCTCCAGCTGCTGCAGATTTCTTGCTGAATCTCCTGATGCTTCACATATGATCAGACCAGTTTGACAGAAATAATTTGTGTTCTGGTTATTACTTTGAGGAGGGCTAGATTTTCAAGTACCTTTTCTTTTACTTTCCACCCATACAATAGGGTATTAATAATCCTTGTATTTGATAAAGTGACGGATTATGTCATTGAGACCACGTCATTGAGGATGCGCAAACCAACTTAGAAAGGCACTACGAGGCTACCGTAATGTGTTCAGCGCATTCATGGTTGAACAGCCCAAAATAATAGTGCTGGACATTAAATTAACTAATTTCAGGTAAACTCTTTTTCCTGCCAACCATGTTTTCAAAGAATTTAGTTATTTTTAGATGACCAAAATTGTGTGTCAGCCTGGATCAGTTGGTAGCACTTTCGCCTCTAAGTCAGAAGTTTGTAGGTTCAAGCCTTTGGACTTGTATAGTTCAGGCTGGTACTTTAGTGCAGTGCAGTGGGTGTGTTGCATTGTCAGTGGTGCTGTCTTTTGTATGAGATGTTACACTGAACTCCTGTCTCCCTGTTAAGGAAGTTAAAGATCTCATGCCACTATTCAAAAGAAAAGAGTTTCTCCCTGTGTCCAGCCAACAAACCCCCAAATAAAATGGGTCCGTTGTTTGTGGGATATTACTGTGCGCAAATTATCTACTGCATTCGCCTACAAAATACAGTCACTGCATGTTACAGTAAGTCCTGTGGAATGATTTGAGGCATCCTGCCAACATGAAAAGGGTATATCAAATTATTTATTAATTAATTGAGTATTTGGGTCAGCAATGAACTTTCAATCATTCTGCCCTTGCTTTCTGGTACTCCATCCCATAATTTGTCCAATTTGCCACCTTCCTCCCCACGTTTGAAGCCTATCTATGACCATACTTTTCACCATCTTTTCCCCTCCTCCACCTGAGGTCTCCTCACTGGCTCGGGAGTTTAGTCAGTTGTGTGAAATGTTTTGTGATGTCCTCCCAGTGTGGAAGACACTGTATGAATGTAAATTATTTAATGTGTGTTTTTATTTCTCCATTTTCCTTTCTGATTTGAAAGTGCAAACTCAACAGTTGTGTAAGGTTACTAATAATAATTCTTAATGAATGTTCAGCACATTTCAGCAGTCTTCCATGTCCTTGAATAAATAGCCATTCAGTGCCTTGGTCAATGGTTGTTCCATGCGTGACCCTGAATAATGAGTGCCAGTTGAGTCTTTGACCATGGAGAAATATTGCTTTCATGCCTGTTTATATTCCCCCCTCCCCCAATCTGCATACAAGCCACTTTCCATTAGAGTGGAAAATCAGGCCATTCTATATTTTGCCCTTACTTTTCCAGCCTAGGATCATGGAGGCTAAATATGGTACCTTACTGCCACCCCTTGCTGAGATCAGCTAACTCAGTACCAATTGAGAAATGAACCTGAGATTTTCCAAGTCTATGGCTTAATCTCTGCACATTTTATTGTTTAATTACCCAATGAGCCTTTGGAGGGAACTTGCATGTATAATGAATAATCTTGTACATGATCTAACTTTCCAGTTCTGTTCACATAAGTGTCAGTGTTGGGAATTGGCCCATCCTTCCAAGTGTGGTTTTAATCCACATTGGCACTGTATGGTAGCTTATATTAAACAGTACTTTGAATGTGCTCGCTCATACTTTTTGTGCGATTTGTGCAAGATAGGCAGTTGCCCTTGAATTGGGAATCAAATTTACAATAGCATGCTGTGTAGATAGAAGAAAACATTTATGAATACCATTCTGAACTTGACAGGACACCCACGAAGACATCCCTCAGATGTAAGTATATAGGAGGAGAAATCCACTAGTGTCAAGACTTAAACTATTTTCTTAGCATTTCAGAACATCCAGAATTTGGTGAATGCAATTTCTAAAATTCAACCTTATTTTGAAGCTATTTATCCTGCAAGTTCTTTTAAAGAAATGCAGAAAACTGGCTTCAAAATTGACAATGAATTGAATAGTTTCACAAATTTTGCAAGCTATGAATTGCTACATAACAAATAAATTTAGTCCCAAGTAAAAATTACAACTTCCATAGTATTGGGAAGGGACAAGTCTCCAGCAATACAGATATTATCAGGACCTTTCAAATGTTTCAACTAATATAATCAAGCCTTAGTACTTTGTTACAAATGCAAGCGTACAGTATTTGGCAATGACAGTATTTGTACTCAAATTGTACTCTGTTTGTACAGGACGTGGGGTATCTGGTGAGGATTCACCACTTGGAGTACACGGATGGAGGGATACTGGATCCAGATGATATACTCATGGATGTGGTGGAAGACAAAGATAAGGTAAGAGTGAGCAAGTTTGTGTTGTGGTCGTCATGGCGATGTGACACACTGCAAGATTGTACATTATATTTCTTGCCACCCCTTTCATTGTGTTTCTAAATTGGCGTTGTAGGTTATTTTAACCGTTTATATATCCGTCTGGGCAGCAGTAAGCGAGTACTGCTGCAGTTGGCTAATGACAGGAAAAATATCAGCTAGGATTTCTGTTCCTCATGGCTATCCAAACACCTCTTTAATAAGGAGAGAACTCACATTTTATAGCCCCTTATCATGTTGAAATGAAGACCTTTCTTTGCAACCCTGCCTACGGTCATCTCCCCTTTCTGCCTGGCTTGGCATCAAACTTTGCGGTTGTTCAGCACTCCGAGCCCCTACCCTGGATGAACAATGTTATATAAATTGTTGTGGATGAAATGCCTATAAAGTAATGTGCAGTAATTGCTGTGGAGACCAGTTGCTCTTTGTTGGCTTTCTGGGGCAGATAGTTGAGAAAGATGTGATTTGGTTGTGAGCCTCCCCGCCTCTGCTTCTCGGTCAACTGCGTGCAGACACCCACTTAGATTTGGTACCAGGAGGCTATTGGCACACTTGGAGCTACGTGCTGCCATAAATCATTCACTTCAGAAAGGGGAGGGTTTATTATAGGGGGGGATAAAACAGAAACTTTACAACTCTTGATATTCAATCAGATTGTAAGGATGTGGTGGTAAACTGCAGTACTCCAAAGCAATGATGCCAAATCAGTCATTCTGGTTCATAGGTAGGACTTGGGGGCAGTGTTTCTTGCATCTCACCTCCAGTTAACCATGTAAGACTAAGCCCTAGGGTGGTCCTAGCTGGACAAACAGCAGGAAGTTTGCTAGACTGAGCTTGCAATGCAAGTTATGTGATTATAGCTGGCTGAACTCCAGCAGTACCCCAGTGTACACTCTGTGGTCCTCAAACCCTGCCTCTTGCTAACCTGCATTTAATACTTTCTGGAATCAGCAAAGAATGGTGTGTCCTCCAGGGCAAGAGCTATTCCCTACAAAAAATTAGAAATTCCAATGGTAGGTGGCATACAAATGTGGAACTGACGACTTGGTTTGGATACTCGTAGTGATGGGTTTCAACATATGTGAGACACCTGGCTGACCAGGGACCAAAAACCACCTCAAGGTCAGCCTGTTTCTCAAATGGTGTCCTGGCCAGTGATCCTCCAGCTTAATTGGTCATTCTCCTCATGACTATTCTGGCACAAATGGCTGCTGTGTTTACCTGCAACAGCAGGTCATTACATTTGACAGTAATTAACTGTAAAGCATTTTGAGGTTTTTGGGGTGACAAGGCGCTGTATATGCAAGTTCTTTATTTCTTACTTGTCAGTAAAGTCCCATTTGGAATATTGTATCATCTTAAGGATATTTTGCTTTGAAAAGGCACGTTGATGAAATGGATGCTAGTGCAATGAAAAGTGATGAGGATTATTCTGGAGCTTGAAATGTTGTAAGGTTAAGCTGATTAAATTGTGCATGTGCTCACTGGAGAAAAAGAACAGAAGAAGGAGCATGATGAAGCCTGAAAGGTAAGGAAGGATAGGATGGATATAAATTGTCATTATAGGATACAGAGGACATGAATACCAAATCAGCAACTATCGAATGAAACCAGAGAACAGATTTGCACCAGAAGTAGTAGTCTGTGGATTAATTATTCACGAGTGAGCTGGATGAATGATTGCTTAAAGGGACTGAAGTCTTTGGAAACTTAGATTTAAAAGGGCCAGCTCATGTGTGTTATATAATAACACTAATCTTTGAATTTGATATTGCGTCTTATCATATTGTTGTAATGTCTCAAAGCGCTTCACAGTAAAGTGTAGTGACTATTTGTAGGTGAACACGGCAGCCAATTTACACACAGGAATATTCCACAAACAGCCATGATTTGAATGATCAATTTTATCTGGGGTATTGTTGACTAAGATACCAGTGAAGCTCAATTCTCTTTTTGAGTCAGGCCATGGGATGTTTAACACCCACTTGAACAGTGAATGGGCTTCGGTTTAACATCATCCACAGGATGGCACCACTGACACTCAGTGCACCTTCAGCACCGTACTGGAGCGACAGTTTAGACTGAGTTCAAAGTCCCAAAGTGGTGCTTGAACCCACAACCTTCTGACGCAGAGGTGTCACATTGATTCACCAAGTGGGCTTGTAGACTGGTTAGGAGGCCAAAGTGGAAAGAGGTGGAGAAATTATGAGGCAAGAGTATCCATGAAGTGGTTGGGGGAGGGTTGTATTTGCAGTTAAGATTCTTTAATCAGGATGATTAAGTGGCAGCAGCAGAAATGGTCTGCTGGGATGGAAGGAAGAAAGCAGAAACACAAAGCCACTTTTTTGATGTATATGTGACAAGCGGCTTCAATTGGTGAATGAGCAAAGACAAATGTTGCAGATGATGTTCGTGGTACAGGATCTGCCTCTTCCAACACCTTCAACTCTTAGTGCCCAAGGCAGAACAACTAGTATTTTGGTTCATTGCCTCACTTCCTCTTTGTGAACATTGTACAAATGAAACTTGGTGTCGTTATGACTTCTCACATCCCCTGTGAACTTTCACAAATGAGTCAATGGCGAGGAATCAGATTGCGTTAAATAACTTTGTGTAAAATTGGAACTGAAAAGGGAATTAAAATTAAAAAGAAAAAGTTGCTTAGAAGTGGCTCTCCTTTACTGCATTGCAAATAATGTCACTGCAAAAGATGAACTCGTAGATGAAATTTGGTAGCGTGCTCAATCGCAAAAATGTCCACTCTTAATTATTTTGCCACCTGATAAATCTTTCACCTGAGGTTACAGTAAGGGAGTCTGTCATTCTTGTGTGTGCTACCCTCTACTGGCTTATAGGGGTACTGCCCTGTATCACAGTTGATTCTTCATGTTTCTTTTATGCATTAACTCTGCTGTGGTGTCAACACAACCTTGCTTGGCAATGTGCCGTCTTAAAAATTCAGAGCAAATTAACAGGAAAGGATGCTTTATGAAGAAGTGGTTTCACAGCGAGGTTTGGTGTCACTTGTACAACTTGTTGCTCTGTACCTGTAAGGCAGACCCATTTATTGCACAGTAGCACACCTCTGAGGGGAGCCAGCATTTCCCTAGGCATATGCTGATATTAATGCAAGCTCAGTCAGTGAACTCCTATATCAACTCACCAGGGATTGTCATCCTTTTCCTATGCTGAATACTAATCTGAAGGCATCAGACATTAAATAACCTGGTACGGATTGAGTGTTTTGATGTAGGCCGTCTTGTCTCCTCTTTCTACCCAGCCTTGAATGTTATGTCTGATTGAACAGGTACAAGGTGTCTGATTAAATGTATACGGCTGAGCTAGAATGGGGAGAACTACTTTGCTTTCTGTCATCTCATGGAATAGCTTTCATTTTCAAAGTGATTCAAGAGGGATATTTACACTGGTGAGTCAAACAGCTTGATACTTGCAGTGCTCAGGTTGGGTGGGTGAGGTGGTGTGCGCATTAAGAGGGAAGAGACTCGACACAGCATACAAATAACAAAATAACACCATGGGAATCCAGTATTTCCATTCTCTGTTCATTCAGTAGTGATAATTATCTCCAAACTTATAAAGTAGGAGAAAGTTTGTCTTCCTGGATACCTGATATTTTAGTGCTTGGCTGATGTGGGTGGAGAACTCGTAAGGTTCTACATTAATTCAACGTGATTCACATCTTCCTTCCTTGTTCCATGATGTTAAGCAACCAGTCATTAAAACCCTCAGGACTAGCTAAGTTGAAAGTAAACTTACTAAACAAGTACCGATGCCTTAATTGGCAAGTACATGTTTGAAAAGGATACAGAGCCTGACAGGTTGAATGTGCAGAATTAACATACACAGTTGATGCTGATGCAACACTGAATTATTAACTCTCTCTCCTAATGTTAATACAGCTCGCTCTTACTGCTGGGCTCAGTTACTCCTTAAAGCTGTTCCCTTGATGATATCATCAGCACTCACTAGTAAAACTGAAAATATACTCCTCCGATGGCCGAATGGCTAAAAAGCTGCCTTCTATAGTGCAGCACTGAGCCTCACAGACCAAAATGTTAGCAGGTTTGATTCCCGGTCAATGCTGAGTTAGCTGTTCTCAGCTGTTGTAGTATCCAGGGCCTTACAATTGGCCTGAGGACTTCAAGGCAGAGATAAAATCAGCCAGGTTTACGTCCCTGATTGGTATCTAGAGATTTCTGGAAATTATCCATGGGTGGATATCTGAGGAAAATATTGAACTTGACTCTCATGCTCCATTGGTCAAAGCCGGCCAACACTCACTGCCGAGACTCGCCCTTGGTTCATATTTTTAGAGGTAGGAGAAAATTGACAAAACAAAATGAGAAGGAATTAACACAAGCAAAGTAAACCAAAACATATTTTAAACCTCTTGTGGACTCTGTGATTGTGAGGTTGAGTTACTTAAGTCATGGCAATGCAAGTTTGAGATCTTGCATTGGAAAAGTGTCCTTTCTCTTTTACAACAACTTGCAAGAGGGCTTGACAGTGGCGGAGCACACGCCGTTCTCTTTAGAAAATTCTCTAAACCAGCAGTGGCAACCATATAGCCCATAGGTTAGGAACGGCAAATGGAACCATCAAAAAGTGCCCCCGAGCATCTCGGTAAATCTGAGTCGTTTGGTTGAATATTTTTGATGGATGGCATGAATCAAGAAAATTTATTTTGTTGACCAACCATGAAGGTTGGCCACCACTGCTCTACACTAAGCAACACAGACCTAATTCGTTTACGCCAAACTTAGATTTGGAATTGGCTGGTGTAGCGTGGTCAACATGTGTGAAACAAATACAGGAACTGGCCCTTTCCTAGTGGAAGTTGCAGTGGCTACTTCACGTGTGTCTAAACCTGCACCTGGATGCTGGTGAGTTTGGTGTTGAAATGCATCTATTCCTTGATGGAGATGGCCTGCCATTTTTCTGAG